AAAGAGTCTGTCTCCTGAAGTTTCTCTTCGTTTTTGGTCTGTTTATATGGCAAGGTGACGATTGCTCGATATCGCTCGTTGCGTTCACTCTCGAGGTTATAAACCTCCCGATGTAGCTGTTCAAGTGCCTCAAACAGCCACTTGAGCTGTGTCAGCTTCTCCAGCAGCTCTGGTCGTTCATCGCCTTCTTCCTGCGTTTGATTGGGGGTCCCATTTTGGGTGGAATCGAACAGCTTGCTTCGGAGGCTGTCAATACAGGTGGTCGTGATGTCGATCCGGTCTGTGAGTATGCGCTGTAAAGGCTGGAACACTACCTCTTCGTAAGAGTCGAATTCGGCTTTAACTAACTCCTTTTCGCATTTCTGCTCTTTGACAAGATGGACTGCCTCAGCCTCTGCGGCTTCTGCATAAGATAGCGTCCCTTGCTCTATGCGGGTATTCATGTCTGACCTAAATGCGCGTCGAGATTCCTTCATTTTTATTTGATGTTCATGCTGAAGTTTTTGTAGTTTTATCTGGTGCGCCTGTTTTGTTTCCTGGACTTCCGTGAGGTCACTGACAGACCGCACTGTACTCCGGTAATACAGGAGATCAGGATGTTTGTTATTAACTGCAGGGTAGTGCCTAGGGTACGGCGGTGGAAGGGTAATGAATCTCGAGATATCCAACGCCGGTAACTGGCGATCAATATGAGACGCGATCGCTGGCGCTCGAGGTACAGAAGGATGCCGTTCTAAGCCCACTTTCTCGGGAGGATATTCGTTTGGCGCATACGTAGCGGCAAAGCCAAAGGCAGGAGGGTGAGCGTGGGATTGATTGCCGTCGATTAGCCCAGTAGAAAAATGTTCCTGTTGCATTGCTTCACGCACTTCCCGAGGCACACCCATGTACTTTGATTCCTGTTTAGACCGTCGGATCTTTTTCCCGGAGCCTCCACTTTCAGACCCAGTTTGTGACTCCCACCAGCGGCTTGGAGCTCTCCCTCTAGAACTAATTTCATCCTCTCTTACACTAATGCTGCCTATCGGAGATAGGGATGGCTTGTAATTACTCCACCATCCTGATTCCACACGCGTTTGTGGAAGCACAGGTGAAAAGCGAACTGGCGGGGCTACCCGAGTACTGATACCAGCCGATGGGGAATCCTTTGTATGGACGCCGTTGCGAGGGCTAGAATCTGGTTGGAAAAGCCTATCTCTAACCCTTTGTACATCAAATAAACCGGCTTCACAAGTACTTGCATGGCGTTCTTGTCGTATTTTAGACTCAGATACGATGAAATTAGCAAAGAGTTCCAAGGCTTCAACCGCGGTGGATGCGGAAGCTTCTTTTTCTATAAAATCACGATGCCGCTGGATAGCATCACGCATGAATTCGTCATTTGCATATTCCATCAGCCTACTAGACCGTGATAGGCGGGATGAAGGCCTACTTTGACCCAGCGGAGTGTGTCCCTGCTCAGCAGAGCTGCTTGTTACCGTAGAACTACTCCGTTCCTGTATGGCTTGAAGTGGTGGTGTTGGCAGCGCCCTCGGTGGCATATTTGGAGTGGTGACTGATGCATGCAAAGTTGGCGATTGAACGTCACCGCCAGGAGAAAAGGGAGGGGTTTGTGCATAGTTGCTGGGTTGGGTGAGGAGGGTTTCAAGTGATGGTGTCGGTTGTTGCCTTGGAGTTGACTGAGCAGAACCGGCTGATGTTAAGAGGGGGAACGGAGACTTCACTGTGGATGCAGTAAGTTGGCCATCTGACTGGGCAGTTCGTGGGGTCCGGGGTGCATTCTTCGTTACGGTGCGACGACGCATAAGTCCACGACCCCCCGGGTTCCCAAGGACCAGGTCACGAGGCCAAGTAGAGTCCGATAGGTCGTGACTTGTGTTACGAGGGCCAGCATTTTCTATGGTAGAAGCATGCTCTTTTCTGGCCTCAATTCTACGCTCTCTAATGCCCTTTGAGCTAACGGCCCTCGTTCCCGGAGCTTCGTTTCTATGATGTATGGCTGATTGCGGTCCGCGGTTGTATTGAGTCAAGCGAGCCAATTCATCCACCGGCACATAATCATTTGTATTTTGAGACATCGAACTAACGCGCTCTCTAGAACTTTCGGACCGCCCGCCGGCAACAACGTTCTCATCAACCCATCCAGCTGGTGTAGGTGGTACTTCTCCAAGGCCGGTTCCCAATACCGGTGGTGATCTATGTCGACTTGACCGGTTTGAGCCATCTTGGGAATGACCTCGTGACGATTCTCTTGATTGGTTCCAAGTACCATTAGGTGGTGGTCCAGGGGGTGGAGGCGGGAGTGGCATCCCTGGCTCCCAACGACCGCGCTGTCGATTAAGCCATGCTTGTGCCGCATTACCATTTCGATTTTGCCCTATATCTCCCGTAGAAGCTGCTCTTATCGATGCTGGAGGGCGTATAGCTTCATTCCCAGAGCCATTGTCATGCGGCAATCCCGAAGATGAAGATCCCAAGCTAGAAATGCCACCACCCGTATTGAACGGGGGATTGCCCTGGCCACTCTGTCCTATATAATGTGAAGGGTGGGCACCCGCATTCGGGACACTTGGTTGTAGGTTATCACTAAGCATGACATCAGAACTATGAATCATCGATACAGGCCTGGGTCGAGATCCAGGGTAGCGATATCCGGAAGCTGGCTCCTGAATTCTCGCGGGGGCTGGCGAATTGTACTGAGCTGCAGTTGCCAGTGGAGAAACACCCGCGCCCACGGTTAGTCTAGGGGAAACATCAGCGCGTGTCTCTTCCGGCTTTGGGTGTCTCGGGGAGTACGGAGGGGGAGGTATGGACGTGGCATCTACATCGGAATATTTATTAGTCTCCCGCTTCTAGCGATATCACTCATCATCTCAAAAACTAATCCATCGCACCCAGCGGACAAGGAATAGGGAATTAGAGATGAGAATAAGAGCGATAATACCATTCTGGGGAGCAAACGCGCTCACCCCCGCAGCTGGGGAGCTATTTGCTGTGATAGGACCCCATTCCTGGGGGTTATAGGCTGCGTTGTAAGAGACATGCCTTGATGACATTGGGGTGGTAATCGCACTCATTTCCCCCGATGAGGGAGTGAACGACGACCTCATTGGAGAAAATGGACTAGAAAAGGAGTTCATTGAGCTCGGAGTCGGTGCGTAACTTGGACTGGCAGGAAACCCAGCGCCCTGGAACTGGACACCGCTCAAGGATGTAGTAAGAGAAGGTGGCTGTGCAACATTCTCCCGACGGCGGGGAAAGACCTGCGCGCCAGAGAGGGGCGGAGCGGAAGGAGGGACAATTAGTCGAGGAGGATTCCGCTGCGGGTCTGACCCTCCCGTCCTAGAGTCTGACCAGCTGGTAGTAGAGAACCCACGATCAGTCTACGCCCCTTACACCAGCACCGAGGGAGACAAGAGCACCAGAGATATGTATCTGAGACAGTACAAAAGGAATGAGAAGAGGACATGCTCACCTATTCATATCCACGAGTACAGCCGGAGGCGGCCCTGGCCAGGTTAGCAGCCACCCAAAGCATCAGCCCAGGCATAGAAAGTTAATAATAGTTAATATTAATAAGACGATACCAAGCAACCGTCACAAAACTAGAAAATTTCAAGCACGAGAAGCAGTGTCGACAAGCGTAGCCAGATCGTTCATTGGTGTTCAGGGAGGATAATCTCACGGGAAGGCCATTCAGACAAGCGGAAATCACCAAATCCACTTGGGAAAAAGTCACGTCCAGCCGTCACCACCGCGTGAGTTATTTTTATTCTCTGCAGCCAAAGTCCACGCTAGGGGAGATTGAGCTGGAAGGCTGCCTTTGAGTGGCCAGTTCCCAGTCTCTGGATCTTGAATTTAGAAATCCCAGACCGTTTTGGGCTGCCGAGAGGCCAAGAAGCCAAAGAGAGGGCTAGGATTGTCCACTCTGAGGTTTCCTCTTCTGGAGGCCCTGGGAAGGGTATGACCTGTTTCGAAAATTGCTTGAACAGAGAAATGGCTGGGCGATCTCAGCCTCTTAGCGTGGCGGTTGGGCTTTCTGTGCCCAGTGTGCTACTTGATGATTTGGTCCTTAGCAAGGGGGTGATCAAATGGTTGGAGGCGGATCCTTGCCTAGGTTGCAGGACGCCATTGCACACATTCCCAGCCACGCAAAACCGGGCGCTTATGGAATATGTTGATTTGCCAGTTCAAGTTGACAGAACAGGCAGCATCCGTTGTGGTTGGCCGGTTTGCTAGGCTCGATGCACAAAGGTTGGCCCCAATCCCGAAATAGCAGCTTTTTCAATATGCAACACAACACTACACTGCTCAGTGCTGGCAGACATGCAAAATACAGGGTCGCCCATGCTCAACCCAGGATCAACAGACCAACTGGTAACTACGACTATTCCCAGCACGGAGGTGGAGGGAGCGGTTCACTTGTTGGCAGACGTCAAGGGATGAGGTCGGTTGGTGCTCTGGCCACGAGCTGCAAGCGGCTTGAGCGAGAGGGTATTGGTAGTTATGGTATAGCACGGCAGCCTGTACTCTGTACGGTACGGCGCAGGTATTATTATATAATATTATGATTTCCATGATTTCCATGATTTCCACCGCTTCCCCAACTCCAATACAATTATTAATGCTGGGGGGGGCTAGCCGGAGCGTAATTTTGGAAACCCTTTGTTTTAGCAATCAATAATGAACAAGATGGAAGGAAGAACTTTGCGGGATTCTATTTATAGCTACGCGCCCTTGGCCGGGATGCCAGGAAACCTCGGCCTCGGTATCTGCAGACTTACGAGTCACCATGCGCGGGGTAGTATCAAATGTGCGAGGGAAGACTCGGGGAAAGGCCAAAATAATTGAAAAACTATATGAGAAAACGTCTCCGATCTGATAAAAATCTATCTGGGGGAATCGTACGTCTGTAAGTCTGCTAAAAACATTGCAGAGATTCTCTCACTGTATTCCTGGCATTTCAAGGATCATGGAGGGTACTGGTACTTTGCTACTCCGTAGTCGAGGGCGAAATGAGATTGCCGTTTATATCACATATCGTTGGTAGTGGACTCTAAGCTGCAAATGGCTTTGCCTTTAAGTCATCTACGTTACTCTGCCCTTGGTTGGTATGTGGGTTCAAGCCAATATGAGAAGAGAACTGGTTTACTCCGTACTTCGAACATCGTGGATGAAGGCTGCCGTCTTCGGCACAATCGTCGCGTTTCAGCGATTCGATAATGCAGCAAGAAGAAGTGAAAGAAAGCTTCAGGGTTCAAGGTTGGGCTTTAAGTCCTGCTAAGCTGACATGAGATATAACTAATCTAATAATTCCAAGTTCTATAACTAGTGGCTGCATGCGGCACGCTTGTCCAGGCATGAAATTGTCTCAACGCCCACAGAAACCGCCATCAACCTAACTCCCAGTTAGTAGAATCCATAGTCAGAGGGTGATATCCCCCCTTATCAAAAAGAAACATACCGTCAAAATCTCTCCGCTGACATAGGAACTAGCTTCACTAGCCAGAAAGACAACAGGGCCCTTCAGATCTTCTGGTTTCCCCCAGTGCCCTGCAGGAATCCTGTCTGTGATGCTCTTTAGATACGCTGGGTCGCCAGTTACTGTGTCCCGATTCATGTCTGTTGCAATGTAGCTATCAGGATACACAAAAGTCGAGATCTTCATCAGTAAAGGAGCGATAGAAGGAGGCATAAAACAGTACATAAAATCAACGCATTCAAGTAGGGAAACGAATGGCCAAATATATCTTACCCTGGCGCGATTGCATTTACATTAATCCCCTTCGAAGCCCACTCATTACTCAACGCCTTCGTCAACTGTCCTATGCCCCCTTTGCTCATCGAGTACGCTAGTACTTTCACGCCCCCAAAGAACGTGCACACGCTGGCCACATTAATAATCTTGCAACCGCGCATGTTATTTTCGATCCAATATTTGCCCATATCCCTACAGAGTGTAAACGGCGCATTGAGATTAACCTGCATGACCTCTTCATATGCCTCCTGCGGGAAGTTTTCGGCTTCGCACCGGCGCTGAATCCCCGCCGCGTTGACAAGGATATTGATAGCTTTGTGCTCGGCGGTAACTGCTGGAATGAGACGAGCTACAGCGGCTTTATCGGCCAGGTTGCACTGGTAGCTGTGGCATTTCCGGCCTGTTTTCTCGATGGCTGCTCTTGTGGTCGTGTCTGGAGAAGAGCCCTGTGGGTGGTTTGCTTGTCAAAATTGTCATTTCAGTTTTTAAATCGAAGTAATCTCATGCCAGCGACGTCTCTTGCGTACCCTAATTAGGATAACGTCTGCTCCCGCCTCCGCCAGGGCAATCGCCATAGCCTGGCCAATCCCTCTTGTGGCGCCTGTCACCAGTGCTGTCTTCCCTGTAAGATCGAAAAGGGAGGCCGCCATTCTTTTAGAAATCCTATCTGAGAACTATGCGTAAAGCGTGACCCTCAAGTCATATATCCGTCCCAATATTGGGTGAACGCCAGGGTATTGTTTTAAACGGCTTTTGGTCGCACAACAACTCATCTGCAGACGCTAGTTATTTATTTGTCGCAACTTGCGTGAGGACTTATGTCCGGACACTATCAAAATGTGGGGTTGGAATACGAAGTATAGTTACATGTGGCAACTAACAACCATGACTAGCCAGATAGTTATATACCGGTCCACTGTAAAGAATTTATTAAAAAGGACGCATCCTCATCTTGCAAGAGCCTTGTTATTGACATACAAGGGATGTTGTATCGAAAAATTAATTAAAAATGTTTGTATTTATTTCTTACGGGGGTAACAACCCAGGAGCTGGTCGGATTGATTAGAGTTAGGCCTCTGATTTCGTGCCAGTTCCAGGAATTTCCTCAATACGTCCTTGAGTTTACAAACAGTCCAGCGCCAGGTAAAAGAGTTCGGGGCCCAATTGGCCTAATCGCTTTCATGCTATGTAAGTCGACTAGAACGAGCTGGTTCCATTCCTCATCTACACTCGATTCACCAGAACCCTCGCTCTCGCCTCTAACGTTGATTATTGCCAAGTTAGCATCCAAGTAGCCACCTGGATTCGTCTCGATATAGCAAGCGTCCTGGTCGAATTCTTCTACCCCAATTGCGCCCAGAGTTTGTCCATCGCGGAGGGAATGGAGAACAGCACGGTTGTGCATCTCATCAACGCTCACACATCGTGCCCCATCAAGAGAGAGGTCAAGTAAGCGGTGGCCTTCGCACCAATGACATTATAGCTGGATAGATTCAGCCTCGTCCAAATAGAACATGTATAGCGGTGATCCATCTTGAACCTCTCCAACATCCAGAAGCACAAATGGGTTATTTGGATGGGCAACAAATCGCGCCCCATGTCCCGTGCTTCCCAAATCCACCTGAGAGATGACGGAGCCTATAGACGCATTGATAGCAAGAAGCTTGTCGGTATGATTCCCCCCCTCCCCCAAAATTCCGCAGTCCGGTTTATAGAGCCATAGCACCCTCCCGTCAAAAGAGAATTCCGCTTCTGCTATGTAACGCATGTATCCTTCAGGCCCATTTGCAAACTGGTAATGCCACATCACCTCGCCTCGTCGATTGATGCATCGGAGGGTAGACGGAGTAACGTACGCCGCAAGCATCCGGCCATGACTTATAGCAGAAGATTCCGGGCGGCCTGAGACGCGGAGCTGAATATCTGGGTCGCCCAGCACGCCAGGTAGCGACCTGTTTGTAAATGTGTAGACCGAAATTTCGCCGTCTTTCGAGGAGACCAGATCACGCAACATTGGAGGAGAGGTGGACGATGATGACCCCTCAGAGTTTGCTGCTTTTGAGGGTTTCAAGCGGGGGTTTCTACGAAGCTGCTGGGTTAAGCGCAGGCCGGTCAGGTCAGTCAGTCACTTAAGACTTTAATTGGCTATGTTGTATTCTCCTCGTACATTACAATTGAAAAATTATGCCAGCTCCACCAATAGTACAACTGTGCAGGGTGGTCATTGTGGCATACTGTGGAATATGTAAGTGTTTTTGCTGTGACATTTTACATCCTCCTGTTGTTACTTAACCTACGACCAAACACTCTGTTTATATTGGTTAGAACGTGAATAAGGTCTTTAGGTTATTTGATCAGTAGTAAAGCTGTTAGAACCTTATTAACCCTTTAGCAGTTGATTGAGGGAAGATGAATGTACCTTCATTTAACTTGAATGAGCTGATTAATGGTAATTCAGCAGACTCATGTCACATCTATCTCCAGTTAGCATTTTCACAAGCGAGCGTGCTGGTTTGATAGCTAGGTTTTTAATCATATGTATACTTAGAAGAAGGATATCTATATAATCTGTGAGACGAAATAAACCTCTTGCATTTTGAGGTTATGGCATGTGCCTCAAGTGCGACTGAAGAATAAATGGTTGCCGCCTTACCTTGTTTTCTGATTCTGTCTGGTTGTTTCTTTGATGGAGATTAGTGGGCGACAATGTTGACCTTAGAATCAGCCCCGTGGAGCAACTTGCAGCCACAAAGCAAGCCAAGTCAACAAAACCAGCTGGAGATCAAGACTTTATCTAAAATGTCACGTTGGGTATGGTACAAGACAGAGCTAAAGAGAATATGTACGAAGTGTGGATGAAGCCAAAGATGTAAGAAAATTATTACAGCCAGCTGCACATAAACAGTACGGAGAGATAAACCCTGCCTAATCTACCGGCTCCTCTTCTAGGAGGGTCTTGAAGCTAAATGCTAGGAACGGTATTCCATCACCAATGAAATGCTTGCTCATGGCCTCGACCCAGTGCAACCTAAGGGAATGTAGCATAGCGCTAGTGCCCTCCATAACGCAAAGAATCGCAAAAGTCAAAGTGAACCACATGTAAAAGGTGACAATGATCATGATCACTCTCATGACGTTAGAGTTCTGTGCGAAAGCGCCACCAATCGTCATAGTCCACAAGACTACAGAAAGCTGTTGATGGGCGAGGGAGAGGGCCCATAGTCGGAGGTACGATGCGGTATGTGAAACGCAGTTGAGACAGAACTCTAAAAGGAAGAGCAACGTTAACGACCCGATGAAAATGTCTAGGGTGGATGATGCCGAAGATACAATATTACTTACCGATAGTATGAATGACTTGGTGAATCATCTCCTCAGAAAACTCAAATTCCTCTTGCTCCTCCTCTCCTATGCCTTGGGTAATCATCGCCATACCGTCCGCATCACTGGCCAGGCTGTTCCGCCCGTCACCAGAAACACGACTGTCCTCATTCTCCTCACCATCCAGGGCACTCACACGAGCAGTTTCTCCGAGGCCTCTATATCCAAGTGCACGGGCACGATTATGCTCCCATCGAAGGTAAAATGGTTTCAAAAAGAGAAGGATCGGAATCTGAATCACAGCAATAAGAAGAAGAATGACTTGCACAGCTGCTTGCCCTGGGTATAATTGTTCCTCAACAGTGCCGGGTTTGAGGAACATGAAAATGAGCATATTTAACAAGCCAGGGGGCTGCTGGCCACGAGCGTTCCAGTCCACACACCACTTGTATATTATGGTGAAAGACAAATAGCCAAAAATAGACTGGAAGAAAATCATTCCGGGGACGAAATTACCCCAAATTTCTATGGGTCTTTTGAAATGGCGGCCGTTGATATAGGATAGGCACAGGGAATATGTCATGTGCGACCAACCCAGGAGGATACTCAACTTCATTTTGAAGCTGTTGGCGAAAAGTAGGTCGTTCTCGGTTCCATGCCACGCCCAGTCAAGGCCAAAAGGATATCTATAACTGCCTTTGAGGTCAGCGGTGACAGTGTCGCCTTGGTTAAAATGTTCCGGCCACTTCCACGCGCTTGGAAAGATTTCCATGGACCTGGAGAAGATATCATTGTATATCAAACCAGTGTACATCGAGAAGACACCCATCATAAGCATGATGTATCGACCATAGAAAGCCATACCCATGAGCTCATCCAACTTCGTTTTCAGCAATTTTCTTTCGAAAAGAATCATGCCAGTAGCAACCATCGTCATGAGCATCCCGTGACCGAAATCACCAAACATAACCGCAAAGAGGAACGGGAACGTGATGATCGTAGGAAGACCGGGGTTGACCTCTCCATATTTAGCCGTCCCGTAGGCGTTGATGATAACTTGGAAACCCTCTGTGAATCTGTTTGTTTTGATATAGGTCGGAGGAGTCTTATTGGTCCGAATCTGGTTGACAATTGTGGGCACAGACAATCCGGCACGATCGTTGACGTCCTGCAACGTTGTCTTGATAAGTGGAAGAGAATTAGTAGGGCACCAAGCTTCAGCAATAAGCGTCTTCCTAGCTTGATCGTAGGAAAACTTGTTGAGTGTGTGATAGGTTGCCTTCTCCTTCTTGACAATGATCATCCAAGCAGCAAGGGAGCGCGCAATCTGAGTTAATTCGGCATCCAATGTGTTTTTCGTATTACGCAGAAAACTGCCCACATCGCCTAGTCTAGTATTAACCTCGTGAATCTGATCTCGCCGAAGTTCGCTGTTTTCATCCACATTGTACAAGTTGGCTCCAAGGGACTCGGAAATTTTCCTGATCTTTGCAATTATTTCTTTTCCGTGGGCAAATATCACAAAGACGTTCTTGTGAATTTCTTCGTTATTGGACGGATCTATTATAGCCTCTGGGATTTCCGATTGGTTCATGTAGAGGTTTCCACGCAGAGTGCGCCACAGAATTCGCTCAAACGCCGCGATTCGATCTCTCGGAATAACACCGGCGACAAAGCCAATATTCATCACTGAGAAGGCCTGTTGATTTTCAAGATCACCGTTCTGGCCTCTTGTGGGTTGCTGCTCGGCGTCTCGAAGAAGGGGAGCCTCGTCGTTCTCAAACGACTGGCGGATCTCTTCCGTGTGACCGTGGGCCTAGTACGGGGTTAACCGCCATAACCGGAAGTAATATCATGAAATAAGTTAAGAAAGGAACGAACCCGATCAAAAAATCCACCAGCCTCCCTCAAGACCCATCGCCATTCGACTAGTTCAATTTCCCGTTTCCGCAAGGTTTCATAGCTCTCGTTCAGCGACGCGACTCGTTGCTCGAGACTCTCACTTCGATCAGCCAGTTCGTCGATTTCAGAGGCCATGGGGGCAGCTAAAGTGTTAGAAAACTCGGAGGATGGCCTCATCGGGATTCCTGCCTTTTCGAGCTGGGAGTGAAAGTATCCTACAACAATCCAACCAAAGTCAGCACGGTATGTTTCACGCATCTTCCGAGCATAGGACGTACGCAGTTGCCTCTCGACGTTATCGAGTCTCCGGATCTCGTTCGTAAATGTCCGCTGGAATGCAGTGGTATCAGGGTTTAACTATAGCAAGGAGTTCCAAGGTCAGCTACAAGTCAGCATTCAGAAACTCTCAGCATCCGGGATCGACCCACATCACGAAACTGGACCTGCCCAATTTCGCCCAAGGCACTGACGACCTCCCGACCGATTTCGTTCGCGATATATAGCTGGGTAAGGCTCATGTCCGCCGAGCGGAAGAGCGTATCTTGAGGAACCCCCATAATGGTAGAAGTTGCCTGGGGTCGGCTATCTCACCAATCCAGAAAAACCGCACTCAAGGTAAAAAAAAAAAAATAGCAGCAGGACAATATCTCTTGAAAGGAAAGAGAAGAAAAGAATGAAGGGCAGACGCGGGTTGATGTCGAGCGAGCTCACGACCAACCCAAGCGGTCCAAGCACTCCGAAGATGTCTACATGTCACGTGATTCACCTCGTAATCCATGGATCCAGAAGGCCAAGAGTCGTGCCAAGGAAATGCATGACGACTAAGCTCATTGTAGAAAACAGTAAAATATTCTTCCCCAAGCACCATTATTGTCAGATTAAATCACTAGAGAGGACCTAGTGGTGAAATTAATGAGGGTGGCGTATACATCTAGTATAGACAAATAGATACCCAAAGGGAGTTTTTGAAAACAAGCAATAATATGCGTAGAAAGTATCGGAATGATCAAGGCCCAGCGAATCTCTAATTCCCGATCCAACCATAATGTAATATCATATATCAATTCTCAAACGCCAAACCGTGTTAAAAGGGTGAAGTGAATGTCCAGTATTTTCCAACGGTACGTTGAATTAAATAAAAGGAACCAGGTCTGGAATTACTACACAGGGATTCATGCGCAACTCTCACTATAGAGCTTAGGCAAAATAGCTCTTCCATAGGACACCCGCAAGGTCTTCGACTTGGTCTGGTTCGAAAGCCTGATTAAGAATTGTTAGCCAGTTATTGAATTCTTTCAAAGGTCAGCTGAGCAGGATTAACTTACCTTGACATCGATATGCCAGGTGTCTTGCCTCGTTTTCTTGAACTCACTGATGATAGACTTCACACCCTGCCCAACGATTCCTGGATCACCTGCGGCTTTGTTGCTCAGGGTGATTAAAACCCCCGGCATCCACTGTGGCGGAGGACTAGCGTAGGGGAAAGCTTGTATGAGGGCCCCTAATCCAAGGACTGCCGCATGCCTTGTGAGAACAAGCCGGGTATGCTCAGGGTTAGGAGTGCTCGCGCCAGTGGAAACACCTGAAGACACACCGGAGCCAAGACGACGAGGTTTCTTCGGGAGTGGATTGTCGACAAGTGCTTTTGTGAACCGGTCGCGTAATTTGAGTACCATATCGGTGCGTAATCGCGCGGGAGAGCAGCGGATCATGCCAGAAAGCGTTGCAGAAGCGCCAGACCGGACTTCAGGTTGAGTATCCTCGAGCATGCAGGCAATGCAATCGAAAAGCTTGTCACGGTCAGCTTTTGGCAACAGGAAAAGACGGCGGAAATACATGATTTGGATGTTAATCATGACGCGAAGACGTTGATGCCACGAAGGAGACGTAAGGCCGATACGTGTCAAAGCTTCCACGAACTCGGAATCATCTCCAGAAGGATGAGGAACATTCGAAAGGTGGCGGAAGACATGGTATGCGAGCCTCTGTAATTCCTGATCCTCTTTGACGTCCATCATATGCAAAAGTTCTTCCGTAAAAGTGCCTGGAAAGAACTGGAGAAGCTGAGTGCATTCGTGTGATGACAATGTGGAATCTAGCCAGAGAAGAACGGTTTTGCTTCCCGAAGTATATGAAGATGGAGTTTGCTGGCCAGGAGATCTTTCATGGCGCCATTTTTCCAGCCGGTTGAATATATCGACCACTGTGTCTGCAAATTCCTTGGTGGGCTTGTATGGATGGCTGCCAATGGATGAGGCTTCTTTTTGCGCCTGAATCAGCTGGTCTATATCAGCATATGACTCGTGATACCTAGTTCGGTATATCGCTCCCAGGGTATGACCCATCGCTTCACGAACTCCTTTATAAGGATGATCAAGATGGGCAAGGAAATCAGCAACAATCGACTTCTCTAATTGGAAGTGCCAACCGAAGTCCAGGATGCATTGATGAAGTAAGTTGATTTTCGAGCTTTCCTTAAACGCCGCATTTGAGTTCATATCTAGTCGGAAGCTAGTCAACCAATCCACGAGAGGCCATAGGCGACGCGGATCTCTACATTGCATTACCATATGCAAAAAGGTTGTCCAATATCCGGAATTTTCTGGGGTAAGACCATCTGAAAATATTTGGCGAACAATCGGAAAAGCGTATTCCCATACTAGAGTTCGTTTGTCCACGCTCGTATCTGTGACAGAGCCGATAAGAGCTCCCAGTATTTCTGCAGTTGCACGATGCTGATGCTTATCACTTCCATCTTCAAAAACAAGGGCGATCTCCTCTTTGATCTCCTCAAACGTCGCGGCTGTTAGCTCATCTCTCAACATGAGCTCGAACACATAGAGTAGCGTCATGGCGCTTGACATGCGAAATTTATCCGCGTAGGCATCCCTTGGTTCCTGCTTCAAATATTTGAAGAACGTGCTAAACCACTCGCGAGTACATAGTTTCCCCATTTGTTTGCGAACATTCCATTCAAGCTCGTCGTACTCGATATCCTGCTTGACATTGGATCTATAGGCTGGCATAGTCTTTCCCCAAACAAGCCAGCCAGGATAATCATGGTCGACATAGTATTCCGCCTCGGGTTTAGCAAAACTTGCAAGGTATTCTTCGGTCCAACCCCTCTTATATGGTTGAGTGGGGACTTGGATTTTGGCAGGGAAACGTTGAACACCCATGATGTAGTCTTCATACTTATGGTTACAGACTGCCCTCACGTCTACCATGGTAAACAGAGCAACAAGGGTTTGGGAGTATAAGCCTCTCAGGCTCGGGTGAGAGTCGATAGATCCCATTATGATGAGATTTACCAAGTTCTCGCTTGCGACGTAATCAAATCTCAAGCCCATGCCAATCACAATTGCCGCAGCCCTGCTGGCCATTTTCCAATGAGATACACGTGCCATATCAGTCAGCTCTTCTGAAAGCTCGGCCTTCTTCTGCTCTATCAAAGCTCGCTTCTTTTGAATAATTTCCCGTTTATTATTGACTATGGCTTGCACGTCGCTCTTTGGCGCGATAGATTTTATAATGCCTTGGTCAAGCACTGCCATTCGCTCCAGTGGACGTCCGTAGTCCATAATCTGGTAGACAACTCCGGAACAAAGCCTTTGAATCGACGGCTTGTCAACGGCGCTGGCTTCTATAAATGCTTTGATGAGGGCAGGAGCGTACTTCCAATGGCGGCCCACGGGTTTGGCAATGCTGCTGTAGAGGATAGAGTATATGGCACCCTTTAAACGGCGGTAATCGTTTGTCTTGATGGCGTTTTGTAATGCTTTGATCAATGTCGGAATAATAAGTAACCTTGATCCCCAAATTGCTTTGAGGGCAGATTCACTGGCTCCTTGGGCGCTTCGTCTTATATCAGTGTATAGCGAGATACTCGACTCAGCGAGGTCAAATAGAAGCGTCTCATCGAGTTTGGATCGAGGTCGTGGGGCCGCATTATGCCGAAGCCTTTGCACATGGTACACGTTCGCACGACGAACAAGTAGAGGCCGAGGGTAATCTTTACGAAGGCCGCTCACTTTGTATGGCTGGGAGTCCGCCACGAGAAGTTTGGTAACCCGGTCGAGAACATGGGCTGATTTCTCTATCCCCACATCCACAAACCATGAACGATAGGCGGTATACAACGGAGTGAAGCACGAAACATCATCTTCCTGTTTTTCTACCAGAAACCGGTGAACGTTATGTAATACTTCACCAACTCGTCGTCTAATGTCATGGATTTCGGTATAGAGTGAGTCGTCTTCTTTCAAGAGGTATCCCGTGGGATATTGGAATGTTTGTCGTACAGCAGAGTCATCGGAGCCGTCTAATGCAGAATCGTCTTCAGCGCTTTCTTCATTGGAATATTGATCGTTCGCATCAGGCATGCTGACATCGAGATCCGCAAGGGAGCAGTTCCGCCCACTAGTATCCTTTGAAGCTGCCTTGTTATCAAACAATATAGACATTCCAGAAATGATAAGCCTGAGTAAAACCAGCTTTCGCGTCACCTCATCGGACCATTCTTTGCCACTTCCATCTCGGTTTATATTTGGCGTTTCACATGTAAGGGAAGTAAGCTGATCTAGAGCGTTCTCCGCCTGCGATTTGAAAAGCTCGACTGCGAATTCAAGTTCCTCTCGTTGTGGGACATGCCATTTGATGGTTAGGTGGTTTGGATCCTGTCTCTGTCCCCATTGTTCTACCTGAATTCCCCTTTCCTTGATATCCGGCTCGTACAGAGAATGGTCAATAACATATGTTACTGTAAGATTCAGAAGCAAATGATGGATAAAATTCGACACGTGGACAGTAGGGATACCCTTGCATTTCTGCTGCATGTAGATGGCAATATCAAAGAGTTCTTTCCTGTATTTCAAAACGGCAGAGCCGACGTGAACGATACACATGCTCAGCATGCTAACATTCCAGATCAACCCGCGGTCACGTGGCAGAATGTCTGAGCCAGTAGTCCTGGTGGAGGCTGCACCATTCTCATCTATCTCGGTACGAATAGATTGTATTAAGAGTGGAACAAGAGCTTTCAGAGCTTTTTCAGGGTTGACTTTACAAACGGCGTTGCATATAAATGCCATCGCATCTCGGGCTTGATGGATAACATGACCGGAAACAAAATTCACAATCTTGTTCAACGCTTGATCATATAGTTCTGGGGAAAGGGATGCAAGTAGAGGCAAAAGGGTAGCAGGTAATGTATTCACGACATTTTCCTCGGGAGAGCCGCTGCGAACCCGAGCGGCGTCTGGGAGATTTTCGAGAAGAGTAAATACTCTACCGAGAAAGGATAACAAGAATTCCCCAAATTGGGTAGTGGATGACCGCAAGATCATTTCTTCCTCTTCATTAGTAAGTTCTGTATCATAATTCATCTCAACAGACGCTCCTTCATTTTCCATTCTTTCTAGCTCTCCAGTTATCCACTGAACAGCCAGCATATTTCCGTTCACATCGTCACGATCTCGAGTAAGATCTTCAAAAGGGATATTGTAGCAAACAGATTGTATGAAAGCTAATGAATGCAAAGACTTTTCCAGGTCGTTAGCATCAATTCCTGGTAAGACCAATCCCAGCAGTGTGGTGATATGGCATCGGAACCCCTTGGTTCGCGCCATCAACCGCGATAGAACCTGTAAAGATCGAAGGGAAGAGGTTGTCCTATGGACTTCCACCAAACCCTGAAGAGACGGGTAAATTCTTTGTAGGGCACCAGGTAAAATCAGGTTCGGTTCTAAATATGCCAAGCTTTGGAGGGTGGACAGCGCAAAGTTCATTGCGAGTCCGAGCTTGGAATATATTCCCATAAAAGTGACCTCCCGAAGGCACAGGACGAAACGTCGTTTCAAGGCATCGTTTAATCTGCGCTCTGGTGTGACTTCCATTTCTTCGTCATGCTCCATGTTCCACCGCATCACAAAGAAGTCCGCGAGGTAGTAAACAAGCTGTGACAATGCTTTCGACCATCCGCCAGCATTCGAGGGGTGGAAGAAAGTCTCCACCGCCTCTATCAAACCCTCAAGCATGGACAATATAGAGTCTTCGGATTCAAGACATGCAGGCGATAGTGACATCACTATCCATCGAGCGATATTATGGGTAAATGGGTGTTTTCGATGGTCCCGTTCAAGCATCATACCCAGACCTGATGAAGCGTCAACGGCACTGCTGTAAGTTGAGGTTGCTTGTCCAACGGGAATTTCCAGTAGTCTTAAAATTGCGGTAAACACGAGTGATGTTTGCTCAGAGGTGAAGATTCCGAACTCAGAGAACGGAATATGGCTAGCGGGGAGTGCATCGCGTGCTATCCTCGATATGAGATCTATGAAAGTTACATCAAATGTCCTAGATCGGTTCATTAAGGACCAAAGATGGAGGTAAGTTGGGAGGTACTCTTGTGGGAGAAGATCTTCACGATCTTCCGGGGCAGGAGCTGTTGGCAGGAACAAGTTTATCAAGCCAGCAACGACGAATGCCCCTTCAGTAAATGAAGCGCTGAAGTGAGGGAGAAATTCCTCCAGTATCGCCCGCAACTCCAAGGGGTCGAAATAGGGCTGAGCAAAGGCACAGAGTTTCGTCAAGGTCTTGATATTCCTCTTTAAGTTTGTGGAGTGGACCAAGCCAGATTGCGAAGGAAGAACGAACACCTTGATTTCTCTGTACAGGGGTTTCCAGTCAAGTATTAGATCCTTGACTGGTCGAAGGTAATGCTTTCTCCTGTATCTTGTTAGTCATATAAGGTATTGCAGTATCCATAAACAGAGATATTCCTTACTTGGTTAAAAGCATAAACATGGTAGCGAATCTCTCTGCCACATTTGGGTCGATTCCTGGCGCTAGAGAAAGTTCGTAATAAAATTTTACCAATTTAACCCGCTGCTCCCTTGTCGGGTCAAACTTCAAAGAAAGCCATCCTTTCAGTTCACGTGTCCAGTGTACAGCCCCGGGATTGAAATCTCCCGATTCAACTGCGATGTAGAGGTGCTTGAGGATTTCCTCCAAGTTGCACTGTCTCTCACTCTCATCCTCAACTTGATAGGGTAGATATTTAAAATACGGATACGTCCTCGGTCTATTTCGTGCCTCTTTGACCTGATCCTCAAGTACCACTCCGTTGATTCGAACAGGTTCCCCTCCTGGGGACGTTGCCCGCGATGTCTCGTTTCCACTATAGGTGAAATCTGCAGCTAAATGATCTGAAAGGCGTTCTCTGGAATCCATGTTGGCGTTGAAAAAGGGCGAAATCGCAAGGGGCGAAGAAGGATGGTATGACGTCGAAGGGTTTAAGAAACCAAGAGTCTCTGGTGCAATAGATACCTAAGTGCGGCATTTAAGAAGTTAGAATAAACACGAAGCAAAGATAAACAGTAGATTCAGAAGGGCAGAAACCGACCAAATATAACAAATATCGTAACTATGGGAATTTCAGATGCCCCAACCCTTCTCCGGCCCTAAAGAGTGTTTGGGAGTTTGCTCTGGAATGGCCGAACAGCAACAATCCGGGCCGCACGCGGATTTACGATGATTCTGGGTCAATGATCATTTATTGAACTAAAGTGAAAAGGAAACGTGAGGTCCAGGACTGGTCAATTTGTCAGTGACCTATCCCAAGCTCACTCGACTTGGGAGCTGTGATTGTCCTGAGCTGGATGGGAATTCCCAAGCTGGGTTTGAGATGTTGCGTTGCTATTTGCGGCAGCACTGATTACCTAATCGGGGTAGGGCAGCCGCGTTGTTGGACCGGACAGTTTGGTGAAGCACACAGAGATAACAACAGTCTGCAATTATTTGCTCTGGGATTTCGCGAAGAAGTTTGAAGAAGGCCGAGCAATCCGGATTTTACAAGAAGCTCATTTTCAAAATAGTGAAAGATGACATGGTTGACCTGATTAATAATATCCCTCGCCGTAGCTAGGCAGAACCTACGTACGCAACACACAAAAAGCTGGAGACCACCCTCCCCAAAGCACGCGACTCTTTTCCCAACCTCCACCAACCAACTAGGTACCTCTTTGACAAAGATGTGAAGGGCTAATCCCAAATGTCATGCTGGCGGAAGAAATGACGCGAATAAGCCCCCTTGAATAAGACTATACAAAACCATTCCCTGAACTAGAAAACGGGGGTTGAAAAGTTGATGGAAGGTATGCCCGTATTCCAGGGCACAATAGCATATATACCAGTACCACAACGGGTATCCGGAAGATATACGGTTGATAATCTGGACGTGAGAGTTCGTCAGAACGAGGGCTGCGAGCACCCCCTGGGGAATTGCGAGTCTGGAAAGGCATGTACGCCGATGCTCCGCTCGTGAAGCCTCTTCGCTACGTTTCCCTGGCTCTTTGTATCGCACGTCGAAATCGACAGGTGACTGGAACGCCCACCAAGACGAAATACCCGTTAGAACGAGCATGGGAGCTGCGAGACAGAAAAGAGGCAGGTTAGATATTTTCCAGTAACTCAGGAACTCCCCGCTGCCCCTACAAAAACAAGTAGAGTCAGTATCAGATTTCACAGCTGTATTGTTTCCATAACTTCCAAGACATACCAGTAGTGGTTCTGGACAAACGTGTAAATGCTTGGGATGGTATTATCACACCAACTCCTTCGCACGTCCACATTTTGGCAGTATGTTGTAAAGGCACGGTACTGAGGCCCAACAACCCCTAGCAGAATCAAGCTTCCACCAAGTATAACAAAGAACATCCTGTGAATCTGGGATATCGATATTCCACTTGAAGCAATGTTTGCCAATCCCAACACCGCATCGTACGCAAATAGCATCCCGCTCAAAATGCCATTGCTACGGATCGTAGTGACGGCAGCAAACAACCCTCCTGCCACAAGAAATTTTACATCTCTTGCGAGCATGTATCCACGACAATCATCGTGTAGCGCAGAAACATACGCGTAAAAACCTGTAAAATTGAGCAAGGAGAACACAGGCTCTCCATAAGGCGCTGAGAGAAAAGCACCGGCAGATGAGATGGTATGGAGCACTGCGGCTAGGAGAGGCACAGCACGACCCCCATCTCCACTACCAAAGACGTTTCTCGATAGTCCGTAGAGTGAGAGTACGGACAAGTAATGACAGACATGCGAGAGTCCAATACCAGTCAGCGCTATGTGGAGACTATCAGGATGCGAACCACGATCTCCCCAGAAGGCTATAAATCCAATTAGTTGACTGTCACAAAACACCGAGAAAAGTGACGTGAAATGAAAAGTAAAACTTTTATAAAATAAACATCACGTAAAGAGAACGCTCACCAGAAGATAAACCTGAGAGCAATCTTGTGTAGCCGTATCCAAACGCCCATTCCTGCTCAAACAGATAACCGCGTTGGGCAATGCTCACGAAATAAATCGCGTCCCATCTCACGAACTTCAGCAATGATGATGGCCACCACCCGCTGCCAGCTCCTGCTCTTACGCTTAACAAGATCAGGTCTGAGGCATTCTGAGATGCAATGGACGGCAGAAGAGTAGTAGATGAGTCGTATCCAGGTCCTGGGCTGGCGACAATTGCCAGGAGCAACAGTAGCTTCCAAAGCACGAAAAGGACAGACAAGCTGCGCAATGGATGGTTAAGCAAAGCACCACATATCCACTGCCAATGAGGAGGGGAGGAGGAGGAGGCTGCTAGCCTCATGGTTCATATTATTTAAGACGATGGTGGTAGCATTGGAAGTGGAATTGCTCTGCTCTGGTGGTGCGTTTTCATGTTTGGTTTCATTTTCGGACTTTTAAGCTTTAAGCTCTTGTTTTATTAAATAACTATTTACACCATCTCGCTACAACTCGCAATGTATATATTGTTTTTACATCAACGCCACGAATAGGCCATTTTACCCTACCAAGTTGCATTAGTGTTATCAGTGACCCTTTTGATGCTTTTCTTGTCTAGATACACTCAGAGACAAATGACAGACGCGCTCCTGACCAATTCCATGAACATTCCCAATGTAAAATGTTTGCTGCCTTGGGATCGGAAAGTGTTCATCAGAAGGATCAAACCGATATCGCTTGGCTCAAGGAACGCGTATCACATATCTCTAAGCCTCGCAAGCTTTCTTATTATGTACATGTACAAATATCGTCCATTCGATTATCTAGGCATCAGCATTTCAGCGTTTAAGCCCAGTAACTCCATTCAACGGCCGCCAGCGCTCCGAAAACATTCAATTCTAGCCCAGCTCGAGGGTTGAATCCATTCATTCTCCTTGCTTCTCATAGACATCATAGATATTCAAATGCACGAGATAGTGTACTCCACGTTGCCCAAGCCCGAACCCTCTCTGGTCAAAAGTAATAAATCTATCACTACCAAGTTTCCTCCCGCAATACTAGTCCCTTTCTACCTAGTCAACTACTCCGTATTTAACTAGGAAATCCATTGAATGGCGTTATGGCGTTGTTAAGTGCGCCCGCAATGTAAATGATATCTCCATTCGCACTATCCTCCGTGCCCGCGTAGTTATCGGTTCGGATTATTGTGGCGGACATATTACTTGCGAAAACAGAATTTTCCCAGGCCCCCCTGAAAATTAGTAGCAAAACACCACCAAAAAATCAAAATATCTGCATTTCTCTAGAATCATTCAATATCATCCAATACGCGTCTTTTTCAATCAAATATCATCCAAATACGCGTCTTTCTTACCTTTATCATCAAATCCACATATATCAATCAACCCTTTTTTCAATATGCCTCGCAACGCCCGCCGTCCTGCTGCTTCGCAAGCCCGTACAAAGACTCCTACCCTGCGCCTCAGTATGATGTTATTCGACGAAGTTGAAGTTGAGTTTCATTCTCTTCTAGCTAGCTAGGATGGGGGAGAATGAGAATATATAAAGGAGGAAAAGGTGGGCGTTCTGAGGATTACACAGGCATGATGAGAAATATGTGTATGATGTGTAATGTGGACGCGTAGTGCATAATATCTGCTGCTGTTTCAAAAAAGATATTATCCTCAATATCTAAATACATGAATAAGAGATACAATGCAAACAATTTGATGTAAAGCAGAATAATTTAGAAAGGATCACAATGCAATCTATATTTCATATTATCATATTATTATATCATTTGAAAGCAGTTCTTTAAAAGAATATTTCATTCTTTTTATATCTCTTCACTGTGAGCTCACTGTACTTTTAGTTGATGAGTATAATCTTATATTCAGTCCTCAATGATTTGCTTTACTTCTCAGTATTAATAGTTATCAAGAATGCAGTCTGATCTGACAGAGAGTGATCAGTCAAAGATATCTAATATAAAGAGCTTAAGATATATTAATAATATAACAGAATAAATATCTCTAAATCTAAAGAGCAGATTCAGATAATATACTAAAATATCAATCTTCTCAAGAATGTAAAATGAACTGATGTGAATTAAGTGTAATATAAATTACTCTGAAAGTGTGTAGTTATAATATTCTTTATAAATAACTTGTAAGTAGACTTATTCAGATAGTTGTATTAATTAATAATTAACATTAAAATAGCTAGATATTTTTGCTCAGATTATAGCAAGTGTATTCTTAACTTGCTATTATATTTATAGACAGGTATATATAAAATCATCAGTAGAAGATAAGTGTGTTAAATTTTAAAGAGAAAAGATATATATAGAATTAACACTGTAGAGAATAGTAAAGAGAATATAATCTATTACTTAAGAAGTAGCTGTATTAAGATTAAACTCTATCTCTGATAAAAAACTATTTCAAGAGATTATAATCTGTCTGATAAGTAATAATTGTAAGACTATTTTAATAGTTTAATTTATACATTCAACTTGACTATTCATACTAGAATAATAGATAGTAGTAAGATAGAGAGTGATCTTAACTCTTTGAAATAATTTCTTTCAAAAGATATTTAAAAAGCAATGATTATAGTCAGTTATTAACTGTTTAAGAAGATCTTAGAATTATATAATCTTATTAAAGAATCAAGTGACTCATTACTTCACAGAATTCTGTTTACATTCAGAAATTAAATAGATATATTTAAAGAATCTGTCTATTATAGTTAATAGTATATTATATCTATCTGATTCTGATAGATCTGTGATGAAATTCATTGATAGAGATGTAAATAATTGATTAAGAGATTATATCAGATGAAGTTCTCTGAAGAGTTAATAATATCAGAGAATAGTGATTTGATACACTGAGTATTAATTTGTATATTATACTATTATTTCTCTGAGATTCAGTGTGAATATTTATTTATAAAGATGTTAATATATTCTTTCTGATTCATTATAATCTTTATAATTATGAGTCTATAATAGAATTCTTATCTGAAGTTTTCTTAATATATAAAGTCAGAGATTTTTATTATAAATATAGTAGAGAAGTTATTAATCATTATTTCATTAAATGCTGTAATAGAGATTTACATTTTCTATTCTCTGTTTAATGCATTTTATAATATATCTGTATATAGCTCAGAAGGAGAAATTAGTTTTTATTGTCTTCTGAATATTATGTTTTAGATCTGAGTGCATGTGAAGAAGATTTATAAGAAAGATATAAGCTATTGATATGATAATTGAACTTTCTATAGTATAGATAAATAGAGCAGAGAAATGAGAGATCTTAATATCTTTGAAATAAGTAGATAGATATTTAAATGTGATCTATGTCTCTGATAGCTGATTAATCTTTTCAGATTTCACTATGAATAATCAGAATAGAGAGTCAGTATTCATGTAAAACTTTCCAGCTCAATGTATGATCTTTATATGTGAGATAAAGATGAATAGAAATAGAGATCATTAATTAAGATAATTATTTAAGCACTTATTAACAGAGATTGTCTGCAATGCTGTTTATAAGACAATATAATCAGTGACTATAATAAAGTCTTTATTAAAATATTGAGAAGTCTTTCTGAGAAGTTATATCAAGATCACTGTTTTCAATTCAGTTAAGCTGTAATTTTTCTCACTGCTCTTTAATATCTGAGAGAGAAAGAGAATAGAATATTTCTTATTATTATTATTCTTCTAATGTATTACTACACTTATATTATCTTTGCTTTCATCTATATAGATAATGAATTTCTTGTAGAAATTGAGAAACTTGAGAATAAGAGAATTATATAATTCATTCTTGATTTTTTATCAATATTGCTGCAATTCTTCTGTTGAGATAATTATCTTCTTAACTTATTTTTTTCTGAGATTTCTCTTGAAAGATGTCTGATGAAATCTCTGAGTCTTTCAGATCTGCAATGACTCTACTTTATAAATATAATAAGTAACAAACTCTCAGTAGTATCTGAACAAATCTAAGAAGATCTTTAATTAATTAAGAGATTTAAGAAAGAATAAGCTCTTGATAACTTCAACTTTGAATTTATACATTGAAAGTTCTAGACAGAATACTTTGTGATCTAGAAGAGATACTAATAAGTAAATAAAATAACACTTTCTGATGAAGAGAATCAGATCAGATGTCTTCAGATATAAGAGAATTACTTACAGATCAGAGAGATATTAATTCAGTGACTTGAAAAATATTACTATATTATTAATGTAGACTTAATACAGTTAATTACTGATAATCTCAATACAGAGTTACAAAGATGGTTTTTCATCTGTTCTTAATATATATAAGAACTTAATAAAATTCTTTAGTGATATTAAGAATGAAGAATACAACTTCATTATTAAAAGAGAATAGAATAATATCTTATCTAGAGAGAGAATAGACATTTGAATGTAGTTATGTATTAATTCTATGAAAATTGATTATAACTCTGAGTTTTTTATTTCATTAAACTATAAAGATGAGAAATGCTGCAGAAGATGAATATTGAAAGAAGACATTTTCAATATAATCTGCTTATTAAAGTTTACAAGAATTGAGTTCATAGCTTCTTTATCATATAGAGAAATGTTGAATGAATTTTATTTAAGATCTGTGAGATTGTTTTCATTGATAAATGAAATTGACATTTCAAAGTCTTTGACATTGTCTAGCTTTGAAGAGAACAGTGTGTGCAGAATATAGAGAATTTTAAGAACTTTCTTTTTATATTCTTTATCATAGTGCTCTGAGATATTAGAGAAGAAGCTGAGAGTATCTTTCTTATAATTTAATTGAAATGATAGATTAAGAGATTCTGCATTATTATATAAAGTTCAGATGTGAAATGTCATGATCAGAGTATTATGTAGTAATAATATAATATAACTGATTATCATGTCTATGAGAAGCTTGATATCAGTGATATCAAGATTTGTAATGAGTAGAGCTGATATTTGTATATCTGTTGACAGTTCTTTTGTGATGAAGATATGAAAACCTGACTGACAGAGATGTAGAGATTTAAAATAGAGTCTGTAAGCGTCTGTAATGAGAAGTGATGAGTGTGTGACTGATACAATTAATTCACATGTTGAGAGAATAATTATAGATGTAGCTATACAGACTGAGATGTGTTTATAATAAGAAGATAGCATTGATATTCTTGATAAATTCAATCATATCAACAGTATAATAATTTCAGTGTTATCAGTGAAGAATTTAAGAGTATCTGAATATTCTAGAGTAATCATTATATTCATTTCTCTCATGATGTCAGTGTTAATTATCATGTGTGAAGAAAGCTCATCAATGACATGAAAAATAG